CGCTAAGCGCTGCCCTGGGCCCTCGCAGCCCATCTTCAAAGCAAGACTCAGCAGGATCCAGGTGCTTCCAGGTCACTTCACGGCATCCCAGCACGCGGCTCACGGGCACGTCTAGGAAGCCAGACATCCCCGGCAGTCAAGGAGGAAGGCACAACGTCTGGCATCCAGTCACATACTAGCCGGGATACAAAGAAGGGGGAAAGGCAACCCACTCTGGGGAGAGAAATCAGTCAATGGAAGGCATCCGGACTGGAAAGGAAGAAGCACTGTGGCAGGATTTTACAGAGACAGACAGGACTCTGAGGCTTCTTTGCCAGGAAGAAGTGTTTATTCGTGCCAGCACCAGCTAATCCAAAGGCTGAGCCCCGAGCGCAGGGGGGCATTGCCTTTTATACAATTTTAGTTTCTTTGTTCCCCTGATAAGGCTTACATATTAGTAACATGCAGGCTGATTGGGTATTTCACAGTTCAGGGTTGCAGCAGAGTTACACATGCGTACTACAGATTGGGGGGCTACATTCCTTTCCAACATAAATCTTTTTAAGAAAGCTCTTATCTTATGGTGCTAGGTGGATCCTTTCACTATTCTGGGAAGGCCTTTATCTTATGGTACTTATGAAAGCCCCTTCTCTATCCTGGAAAGGCCTTTGTTTTATTAGGCTTGGGGGGCGGCGGGGGGAGCTCCCTGCCTTAGCACAGCTGCCTTTTTTCTCTTGTTTTTGAGTTGGTATCTCACTGTATCCCCCAGGCTGGAGTGCAGTGGCACGATCTCAGCCACTGCAGCCTCGACTTGGTGGGCTCAAACAATCCTTCCACCTCAGCCTTCCAAGTAGCCAGAACTACAGGCGCACGCTGGCACGCCCAGCTAATTTTTTGATTTATTGTAGAGATGAGGTCTCACCATGTTGCCCAGGCTGGTCTTGAACCTGTAGGCTCAGGCAATCCTCTCACCTTGGCCTCCCAAAGTGCTAGGATTATAGGCTTGAGCCACTGCGCCCAGCCAACAATTTCCTTTTTTCTGAGAAAAACTAATGGCATCTACAGAAGAGCCACAAGACTGAGTTTAGCAAGTCTGCAGGACTCATCATATTTCACTGGGTGCTAACTCCTTTCCCCAAATACTTAACCACCGGGCTAGGTGGTTCAGCCTGTAATCCAAGCACTTTGGGAGGCCAAGGTGAGTGGATTGCTTGAGTCCGCTGGTTCGAGACCTACCTGGGCAACTCAGCAAAACCTCATCTCTACAATAAATCAAAAATTAGCCAGGCATAATAGCACGCGCCTGTAGTTCCAGCAACTTGGAAGGCTGAGGCGGATGGATCGCCGGAGCCCAGCAGGTTGAGGCTGCGGTGGCCAGGAGCATGCCACTGCACTCCAGTCTGTGCGACAGAGTGGGACTCTGAGTCCAAAAAAAACAAAAACAAAAAAACTTAACCAATTGTCCAAGCACTTTCTTCGCTGGTCTTTTCTTGAGTAGGCTAATAATCTGCACAATCACCAGTGTTTTTGGTTTGTTTGTTCTTCTAATGAAAACACAGTTTTATTTTGGCAGGAGACAAACTCTGACAAGGATGTGGGAAATCAGCCTTCTGGTGGGAGGGCACATTTGTTGGAGAGCAGTTTTGTACTGCAGCTTGAGAACCTTAAATAATGAAAAAAAATTTTTTTTTGAATTGGAGTCTCACTCTGTCACCCAGACTGGAGTGCAGTGGCAGGCTCCCGGCCACCGTAGCCTCGACCTGCTGGGTTCAGGTGATCGTTCCACCTCAGCCTTCTGAGTAGCTGGAACTACAGGTGTGTACCACCATGCCTGGCTAATTTTTGATTTATTGTACAGACAAGGTCTCACCAAGTTGCCCAGGTGGGTCTCAAACCCACGGCTCAGGCAATCCACTCGCCTCAGCTTCTAAATATTGAATATTTAACTTAGTAATTCTACTTCTTGAAATCTACCTCTTTTTTTTGAGTCAGGGTCTCAGTCTGTTACCCAGGTTGGAGTGCAGTAATCTTCCAAGTAGCTGGAACTACAGGCACACACCACCACGCCCAGATCGTTTGATTTATTGTAGAGATGAGGTCTCACCAAGTTGCCCAGGTTGGTCTCAACTCCTGGGCTCAGGAGAGCCTCTCGTCTCCTCCTCCTAAAGTGCTGGGATTACAGGCGTGAGCTACCATACCATACAGAATCTATCTTAAGGAAACAATCACTCGTGAAAAGACATATACAATTCTATTGAATCGATACCTATAATAGAGGAAAATTGGAAACAATTGGAATGTTCAACCATCATGTTATAGTACATTTTATTTTGAGTCAAGAGTCTCACTCTGTCGCCCAGGCAGGAGTGCAGTGGCACACTCACAGCCACTGTAGCCTCGACCTGCTGGGCTCAGGCAATCCTTCTGCCTCAGCCTTCCAAGTAGCTAGAACTACAAGCATGCACTACCATGCCCAGCTAATTTTCTTTATTTATTGTAGAGACAGGGTCTCGCCATGTTGCCTAGGCTGGTCTCAAACCCATGGGCTAAGGCAATCCTGTCACCTCAGTATAATGCATCTTTTACACATCCATTGATTTATTGAGAGGACAGAAAAGCTTCTACAGTGGGAGGGGACTCAGAGGGGTTTGCCCGAATATTTTTGAAGAATTTTTTGAAAGAAGAAGGCTCATGTTAGGAAAAAAAGGAAAAAGTTGAACATTAACTTGCAAAAATTATATATTACATATTACTGTTACCCATTTACTACATAAACACAACTATAAAACTAAGGAAATGTTCCAAAATGTTTACATCAGTTAATGCTGAATGACAGGGCCCAATTTATTTTCTTTTTCTTCCATTTCTTAAATTGTCTTTAATTACCTTGTACTACTTGACTATCTGAACCTCCCCTCCAACCCAAGGACAAAGCAAGACTGTGTGGAGGTGCTATGGCTGGAAAAAGAAACTCAGACATGGGAGTCATAGCTCAGTTTATTTTTTGTGGCAACAAACATTTAAGTACATTTAAGTACAAGTGGATCCTGAGAGTCCAGGGGCCAGTCCACGAAAACTATGAGGCCCCCACACTAAAGTAATTACTGTGGGACTCACTGCCTAGGAGGAGCCACCAGATTACACGTCAGCCCCTTTTTCCAGCCCAGGTTCAGTGGGAAACGGGGGCCCAAAGCGCTGCATAGTCCGCACCACCAGGGAAAGCTGGTCAAGAAAGTTGATGATGGAGATTCGGAGCAGGCGACAGTCTTCAGCTTTCCAGTGGCTAAAAGTGAGGAAAAAAGAAAATCAAGTCGGAGGTGGCGACTCCTTGCCCCTCAGATATCTATTACACTGAACCCTGGGGTCGAGACCATCATCACAGAGCCTCACAGGCAAAGAGCCGCCCTCAGATGAAGCCTTGGGTGTCTGCACACAACCCCCCCCCACCCCGCCCCGGCCCTTTCTAGAACTCACACAGCTAGGACACTGCCGCTCACTGTAAGATCCTTTCCAACCACCCTTTGGTGGGGCTCAGCATCTGGAGCCAGGGAACCAAGGGCGACTTCCGCCTCCAAAGGGGTCGGGAAAGGCACGCTGAGGGTGCTGACGCGGGTGAGTAAAGGTGCTACCGGATACCGACCGCGGGTGAATCTCGGGCCTCCTCGCTCCTCCGAAGCCATCCAGCCTCTTTCAGGCCACCCTAACTGGTCCCATCCCAATTCAAGCCCGCTTCTGCAATACCCTACGGCCGCCCGGTTCCTACTCTGCTCTCGTTCCTCCCCTCTTATCCCGCCCAGGACCCCTTGGCCAGAACTCTCCGCCAGTCGCCCCCAGTTCTCCTCTTATCTCGATTCCTTCCCGCCGTTCGACACACCTCAGCCCCCGGTTTCCCCCGCTCCCCTTTCCGTGGCCCCAGGGCGCCCACCCCTCACCCACACTTTCCATCCTTTCTGCCCCGCCCACCTCTCTCCCGCCGCAGGCAGCCCCAGCCCGCTCCCGCTGTCCCCTCGGGCAGGATACAACGTGTGTGGTCGGATTCCTGGCCTTCCGGCTGCAGGCGCGGTATCTGTGCCGGGACCTGGGGCGTGCGGTGCTCCCGCGACATGGAGAGCCTCACCGGCCGGGTCTGCCGCCGTGC